AACTTTTGTTGCTGCATGGGTTAACAGCATTGATTCTCCAGGCTCAGCAGATGCACAGGGTCAGTTTCACACTGCTGCATTGTGTTTTGGCCCCAGTGAGGGTGAAGTGCAATGTGCCCATGGGCAATGATGCACCAAAAATCCTGTATGCTATATCTTTGATGTGCTTTCAGAAAATGCATAAAAAATGTGCACTCTAATAGTAAGTCTAGGGGAAAGCATGGGTAACCCACATGAAAACCATGAGCACAATGTGCTGCAGTGTGAAAGGGGCCTAGGTTACATTTTCCAATCTAGACACTTGCTCTGATGACAACTGTCTGAGAGAGCATTTCACTGTAGAGTTTCCCCGATTTCCTGTTGTGCATACAGGACAGGAAGTGTTTTTATTATTTTTGTAAGAAGATAGAAGAAAATGCATCTATATGGGATTTTTAAGTTGCCAAGGCTAAAACCAGAATATCAATAAAATATTTTTAATGATATTCAAACTTTCTCTTATGATTACCACTTTTTACACCCTTGCACCATTACATACCTCAATTTTAGTGGATAGTTCAATTATTTCAACAGAGATGCAATCCCTTCAGGTGGGCGAGGGAAAGGTGATGTCTTATTCTTCAACGCTGTTCACATTACCACCTTTACCTCACTCATGTGAATGGATCTGAACTAAGGTTACCTACTCTATCCTTGTGAACAAGTCCATCAGAGGTGAAACGCATTTAAGGAGTGTGTGATTTCTTGGCCGGAGATTACATGTGTGCAGCTGCATTATTGCTATCAGAATAAAGTACAAAGACAAGCTAATTACTCCAAAGACATGCTGGTAGGTTAATTAGATCCTGTCTAAATTGGCCCTTGTATATGAATGTATGAATGTAAGTTAGGGACCTTAGATTGAGGGTTAGGGACTGATGTGAATGTACAATATATATGTAAAGCTCTGCATAAATTGACAGCACTATACAAGTACCTGTAATAATAAATACATTAAATACATAATAATTAGGTAGTGTGACTTTAATCTTCTTCTGTTCTTCAATTCATTTATTAATGAAGCAGCTAAAGACTGATTGCTGGATTCTTTAACACAGACGTTGTTGTCAGTTTGATTTTGGCAGTGAAGAAGATCAAGGTGTATGTGATACAGCCAATATATTCAAGTTTTTTGGGGTATACCCCTTACACCCAAAGTCCACAAGTGGTTACAAATCATTAAAGGGGAGATCAAGTGCAAATGTAAAAAAATTTAAAATCAGTAGCTACAAAAACTGTAGCTACTGACTTTAAAAAAACATCCACTCACCTGTCCCTTGATCCCGTGGTGTACCCGGCCCCCCCCCCCCTCCACCCCACGCAGCCTGTTTCATTATCCACCCTGTGTTCCCGGCGCTGGCATCTTCAGTGTGGGCACCTGGCTGTGACAGCTTGCGGCTTCACAGCTGGATGCCCACTGCGCATATGCAAATATCTTTTTGAATGGTCCCGTAGTCTTCTGGGACTTGGCACGTGTCCCAGAAGACTACAGGGAGGGAGAGGGGGGAGGACAACTTCCATTTCCAACTGCCTAGGCAGAAGTGAGAGCAGGCACCTGTCAATTTCGGTTACCCGCTCCCCCCCCCCCCACTCCCCAAAGGTGCCAATCCTTAACAGGGAGCGGGGGACCAGTCCTTAAAACTGAACTTCCCCTTTTGGGTGGAGCACCGCTTTAACTGTATTTTTAAATGCAAGTAGTATAAGTACCTAGATTTGCATGACTGTCGACTGGTCTGTGTTCTGCTGTACCTTCATTATCTAATCAGCAGGCTGTTCTTATCTAAGCTGTGTGGATTTTGTAGTGGAGGTTAAAGACCTGTTGGAGAGAAATGTCTGGTTCACAAGACTGGTTGAACAAAATTACAAAACCTAGAAGAGGCCATATAGTGCCCACATATGTATTTCTACTGTGCATTTAGTTTCTTAGAGTTTACACACTGGGCTTTAATTAGGGTTTATTAAGTTTTAGATAGGAATTCCTTGCCAAAACCTTATCCCCAAATTGTTGTCAGCCTCAAAATATTTTACTCTCACCTTACAATCCAGTTTTCTTCTGGTATCATTATAAAATATTTTCATATAATGTTGCTACACACAGCATTAAAATTTATACAGTCCAATGGTGATTGTACAGTTTGATTGTAAGACCATTCCACACACTTTGGGGGTGATTCAAAAAAGCATTTGTGGCACATTTCTGGCAGTGTGGATGTAGTCAGGAGCATTGTGACAAATTTATTGTTAGTACTGACATGTGACAAATTCATGTAGTTCCTATTTGTGACACGTTTACTGTATTGTTGCTACAAACACCACTATATTGGTAATAAAGAAAGTGGGGGTAAGTAAGTCTTCTTCTCAGCACCGGCCATATCCAGGTCTCTCAAAAGAGGGTATTGGAAGTGTATATGAGCCCTTTCAGAATTATGAATGCCTTCAGATTTGTTTTATCTGCTGCAGAATTTAACCAACTATTTCAGACTTGTTTTTGAGGGTAATGCATCAGTTATAAATGATACACCCAAGATTCACACAGCTATCACCCAGAGTTCACACAATTTAGCAAATTATTCCAATTAGAAAAATGTTTAAAGCTTAGGTGAAAGTTATGAAGCTTAGGGGAATAAATTTTATAAAAAGACATCATAAAATGAAAATCCTAGCTTTGAGTGTACCTCACTAAGTATTGAATTACAAAATACATACAACTGATTCCTGTCTTTAGGATAAAACTGTACGTCCTCAAACAGGAGCGGTGACATCTGGACCATGGCTGCAGGACAGTCGTTCCAGGCATTACTAGCATGCTTGGATGACAGCAGAGTGTGTGGTTGGCTGGCCTTGTTGACAGGTCAGCAATCAGCATAGTACATGTGGAATGGCTTTCTGGCTGATGAAAGGCCTTAAACACCCAACTCTCACACAGAGTGCTCAGCAATGCAAATCCTCCCTCTGAAGTTGGACTGGAACCTGCTAGGCCATAATAGCGTGGCACCCCTATAGTGCTGAACAGCAGCTCTGACACGCTATGTGAAATCCCCCAGCCCAAGAGAGCGAGCCTATCATTCTCAGTCAAATATATAGTCTTTCCCATCAGCCCATTCTTTAGTTCAGCCCCTTGGGAGGTATAGTTCAAGAAGAAGTATGGTAACCTCTTGTCCAATGATATCAGGACTACATGTCCCAAGATTCTCTGCTTTATCCAGGACAGTCATTCTCAACTCTTCTGACAGGAAATGAATCAGACTTCAGTAACACAGGCACTAGTGGGGAATGCTAGGTCAGCTGTCCCCAAGTGACATTTTAATCCATGATGTCATAGTCACCACCTGGCTACACAATCTCTTCTAGGCCATTGTTCAGGCCATGCCGATATACATGAGAAAAAGGACATGGATAATTGGGCACTACCATGGGGTGCATTTAATAATGCAAAATTTTTGAAAATAAATAAGTACCATTCATGTACTCAAAACACACACCTTGTCCTTTAGTAACAATATAAAAAAGTACAATGAAAAAGTTAATAATGTTCCCCGATGTAAATCCATAATTAGTCACAATGTCCAGGAAAGTAAATCCATTATCCTGCATGGTGTCCAGCAATGTGATCTTCATCAATCAAGACTACCCAACGTTCGCTGATGTTAACCTGCTACACTCCCATGAACAATGCTGGGGATCCTGGGCGATTATTATTATTATACAGGATTTATATAGTGCCAACAGTTTGCACAGCACTTTATAATGTGAGGGCAGACAGTACAACTGTAATACAATTTAATACAAAAGGAAACAGAGAGCCTTGCTTGTTAGAGCTTACAATCTAAAAGGATGATGCTATTGACCAAGTATGGACAATGACCAAATTTCATAATGATGTAACCTGGGATCTGATGGGAGCCCACTTCTGATTCAAACATCATTACTAGTGGTCAGCGAATACAGATTACAGCCCCCTCCCTCCTTCCCTCTCTCTCTCTTTCTAGGCATTAGTAACCAGTAGAATATCCCATGTCCCCCAGGTATAATTTCCCTTCCCACCCCCCGTTTCTAGTTAGTGAGATTGCAATAGATACGTGTGATGTATATACATGGTCCCATGTGGTGATGTCATAGATCATAGATAATACTTTTGAAGATACAGCTGGGAAGGGAATCTCTGAGTGTTCTAGCTCTTGACTTCGGTATGTGGCCCAGATCCACGGAACCCAGGGATTTTGTTGCACACTAGAACAGTCCTATGAGATCCAGGAAGGTTAAATGGCATGGATCCATATCATCACCTCTATCCAATGAGCAGGGGGCTTACTCAGAAAGCAGTGACAAAGTGACATGAATGACTAGCAGATGTGTGTGTGACAAAAATGGCAGACCAAATTTCCTGGCAGGTAAAACAGAGAAAATGGATGTATTGTAACTGTGTGTCTAGCTGTCTGCCTTGAGTTCCACTGTAAAAAAAATTATTTTAAAAATTGTCAACTGGCTTCAAATGTAGTAGATTAGCTGTAAAGTTAAAATACATTATATTTCTCTTCTGTATAGAAAATACATATAAAATGTAAAGTGTAAGTTCACCTTCAGCAACAATTTCCAAGAACGCCCCTATGCAATTCCATACCTACTGAATAGCACATTACAGCTCTCCTCCTGTTTCCAATGCTACACCTCCCATTACATATGCAGCAGTGGGAGGAGGTGTGTGTGTGTTGTGGGGGGGGGGGGGCTCTCTGCAAAGAAAGCTGACCCCTTGATCCATCTCCGGGGTGGGCTGGACACCACAATTGTGTGCCCTCTAATCGCCACTCTGGGGCATGTAAACTGCATGCATGCGCAGTACACTCTCTCTTTTCGTAGCTGTGGTGGCTGTTCAGCTGGACAAGGAGAGAAAAAAACACTGAACAGTTTAATGTTTTCTATGTTTTTTACAGCAAAAAGCTCCTGGAAAGGAATTATTCAACATGAGCTGCAGCCATTTGAATCTGACAGAGAAAGAATACTTTGGCCTGGAATTTAAAAACAACACGGGATACCATGTAAGTAATTGGCTTTTCAATTGCTTATTTAGAGGTAACCATATTTGTTTTGAGGTCAGTTTTGTTTGTTTTTTTGCACAATTGGTGGCGGTGTTATGATGGTTAGCTAAAGAAAGAGACTTTATTATTATTGTTATTATTATTATCATTATACAGGATGCACGCTGCTCAAAAAAATTAAAGGAACACTTTTTAATCAGAGTATAGCATCAAGTCAATTAAACTCCTGGGATATTGATCTGGTCAGTTAAGTAGCAGAGGGGGTTGGTAATCAGTTTCAGCTGCTTTGGTGTTAATTAAATTAACAACAGGTACGCTAGATGGGCAACAATGAGATGATCCCCAAAACAAGAATGGTTTTACAGGTGGAAGCCAGTGACATTTTTTTTCCTACTCATCTTTTCTGACTGTTTTTCACTAGATTTGCATTTGGCTAGGGTCAGTGTCACTACTACTGGTAGGATGAGGCGATACCTGGACCCTACAGAGGTTGAACAGGCAGTCCAACTCCTCCACAATAGCACATCAATACGTGCCAATGCCAGAAGGTTTGCTGTGTCTCCCAGCACAGTCTCAAGAGCATGGAGGAGATGCCAGGAAACAGACAGTTACACTAGGAGAGCTGGACAGGGACGTAGAAGGTCCTTAACCCATCAACAGGACTGGTATCTGCTCCTTTGTGCAAGGAGGAACAGGATAAGCCCTACAAAATGACCTCCAGCAGGCCACTAGTGTGAATGTCTCTGACCAAACAATCATAAAAAGGCTTCATGAGGGTGGCCTGAGGGCCCGACGTCCTCTAGTGGGTCCTGTGCTCAATGCCCGGCACCATGGAGCTCAATTGACATTTGCCAATGAACATCACAATTGGCAGGTCCGCCACTAGTGCCCTGTTGTATTCACAAATGAGAGCAGGTTCACCCTGAGCACATGTGACAGACGTGAAAGGGTCTGGCGAAGCAATGGAGAACATTATGCTGCTTGTAACATCGTTCAGCATGATCGTTTTGGTGGTGGGTCAGTGATGGTCTGGGAAGACATATCCAGAAACCACTAAACAGCTCATCCACTCCCTCATCATATCAGACTCGACTACTGCAACTCCCTCCTCACTGGCCTGCCTCGCCGCTGGCTATCCCCGCTTCAGTCCATCCTGAACACGGCTGCCAGACTCATTCACCTTTCCAACCGCTCTGTCTCCGCCACCCCCCTCTGCCAATCCCTCCACTGGCTTCCGATTGCGCAACGGATCAAATTCAAAATCCTAACGCTGACGTACAAAGCTTGTCCACCATACTGCCCCGAACTACATCTCTGACCTAATATCCAAGTACTGCCCAGCACGCACACTCCACTCCTCACAAGACCTCCTTCTCTCTAGTTCCCTGGTCTCCTCCTCCCATGCCCGCCTCCAGGACTTCTCCAGGGTGTCACCCATCCTCTGGAACTCCCTGCCCCAACCCATCAGATTATCACCTACTCTCCTCTCCTTTAGGCGCACCCTGAAAACCCATCTCTTCAGGGAAGCCTACCCCCACCCCCTGCTAACTTGCCAACCTCCTCCACTCTTCCTACCACTCCATCCCCCACAGCTATCTCCTCCTGTGCCACCACCACCCCCTCCCTCCTAGATTGTAAGCTCGAAAGAGCAGGGCCCTTGATCCCCTCATGTTTTGCATTGTATTGGTATTGTTCTGTCACATGTTCTGTCTCCCTTTGTAATGTACAGCGCTGAGCTAACTATTGGCGCTTTATAAATACTGTATAATAATAATAATAATAATGGAGGGATACACAGGCCTCTGCAGGCTAGACAATGGCACCCTGACTGCCATTAAGTATCAAGATGAAATCCTTGGACCCATTGTCAGACTCTACACTGGTGCAGTGGGCCCTGTGTTCCTTCTGGTACACGACAATGCCTGGCCTCATGTGGCAAAAGTATGCAGGAAGATCCTGGAGGATGAAGGAATCGATACCTCTGAATGTGCCCCAAGCTTGCCTGACCTAAATCCAATAGAACACCTCTGGGATATCATGTTTCGCTCCATCCGATGATGCTAGGTTGCACCTCAGACTGTGCAGGAGCTCAGTGATGCCCTGGCCCAGATCTGGGAGGAAATACCCCAGGACACCATCCGTCATCTCATTAGGAGCATACCCCAACATACTGAGTATCATTCTTAGTTGCTGTAATGAATTCAGCAAAATGGACTAGCCTGCCGCATTATTTTTTCACTTTGATTTTTGGAGTGTCTTTGAATTTAGTCCTTTCTAGGTTGATAATTTTCATTTCCATCAAACAATGGGGCATCCTTACGTTCCTAACACATTACCCAGTCCATATCAGTATAGATATCCCCATTGAGATTTGATGTGTTTTCAAAGTGTTCTTTTAACTTTTTTGAGCAGTGTATGTAGCGCCAACAGTTTATGCAGCGCTTTACAATATAAAAGGGGCAGTACAAGTACAATACAGTTCAATACAGAAGGAATAGGACTTTATCAAACACTACCTACTTTGAGGCTGTGTTTGTATGACTGAAACCAAGCCTTTTGATAACAGAAGAGTCACTCAACAGCTTACTCCTTAATAATTAATAAATAATCAAAATATGTACATTCCCCTTAATTGAGTGATCACTCAGGTTAGTAATCCAATGTTAATTTAGACAACCTTACAACCTTGTTAGATCTTATTGCATCATCTATTGCTCTTTATACACCTCCCCTTATATCTCCTGCTCATCAGCTATTGCTGGACCTTATTACATTTACACCTGTTTATGGGCAATAGCTAGATCCTATCAATGAGGACCCCCTGCGCTACCTTACAATACCCAAAAATAAGATGAGGAAAAGCTGCTGGCACCTGACCATGTACCAAAAATGAATGATAAGCTAAAATGAAAATGAAATGGTTCTGCACTAATCCAATTTCACAATATTACATAGTCAAAATGTGGTGAATACTAACAATACCAACCCCCAACAATTAAAAACAAATGGTTAAACCAACTAGTAAAAAAAAAAAAAGTAAAAAAAAAAAAAAAAAAATATATATATATATATATATATATATATATATATATATATATATATAGAATAGAATAGACAAGAAAACCATAAACCAACGAAATATGGCCTTTTGAAATGGTGATCTATCCCCACAAAACAAAGAGAGCATTCATTAAGTGACAATAATGAATACATAATCACCTATAGTAAATCTTTAGAATAGAATGTGTACCTAGAAAGTCACTATCCACAAGACCACACTTTGACGCTCTTTATGTGTTTTCTGGTCTATTCTATTCTATAGATTTCCTATATGTGATTATGTATTCACTATTGTCACTTAATGAATGCTCTCTTTGTTTTGTGAGGATAGATCACCATTTTACAAGACCATATTTCGTTGGTTTATGGTTTTCTTGTCTATTCTACTCTATATATATATTTTACATATTTTCTTTTTTACTAGTTGGTTTTAACCATTTGTTTCAATTGTTGGGGGTTGGTATTATTAATAGCTAGATCCTATAGCACCTCCTGCTTATTGGTTATTGCTGAACCTAATTAAACCTTCTCATCGAATATCGCCGGACCTTATTGCACTCCTCATCAGCTATTATTGGGCCCTAATGCACCCCCCCTTTTATGAAGTAATACTGAACCTGAATGCACCTCCCTCTCATTCATCATTTATTACTGAATCTTATTGCATCTTCTTCTTATCAGCTATTGCTTGACTTTATTGCACCTGTCCCTCATCAGTTATTACTGAACCTTAATGTGTCTTCCACTTCTCAGCCTCATTGCACCGCTCCCTTACTAGTTATTATCAAGTCATTTATTTATTTATTTTCCTACTTTCTGCTTATTAGCTATTGCTGGACTTTTAATTCACCCTCCCTTTATCCTATATTGGTTGACCTAATTGCACATCCCTACACACTAAATCGATATTTTTTCCTTTTTTACAGTACCCACAAATTACAGAGTTGGACTATAGTTCCTTTTGGTTGGAATAAGTATAATTAGGGAGAATTTATTGTAATAATTAATATATAAGAAATGAGTGATGTTTTCCGGGGACACATTTACATACCCTGAGAAAAATGCTTAATTAGAAACCCCTATAGAGATAATAAAAATGGCCAATTTGAAGGGGATTTGATAAGTATGGTGATCCAAGTATTGAAGATTGCAGGTATGCATGATTATACACAGACCAGAGAAATCACTAGGCACTTATTTTAGGCAAATGGAAAATGTTTGATTTGCCAAATTAGCCAGAAGCGTAGACTTGCTCATTTCCCAAATAGATTTGTTTCTGCTGGGACATTTTACTTTACTATAATATCTTATATGGCACGGTTTAATCTGTATGACTGTAACCTATAGATTTAACATGTTTTCTATCAAATTTATTTAGAAATATTTTATACTGAACTATAGTATCTGACTTGTATGACAAGTTGCAGTTGTGTTCCAGAAAAATGTTTCTGTGACAGCCCCATCTTGTGGTAAGTCTAGGATACAACACTTGGCATAGATTAAAACTTAACCTACCACCTGCATACAACAACAGGCAAAGCTCAGACTTTACAGACTGGCTCAGGTCTTTTGGTGCTGAAAGCAAGTGAAAAATGTAATCATATGTCAGAATATCCCTGAACTGTAACTTATACCTAACGCTTAACCTAAGACCAGGTTCACACCAGTGTGCTGTGGCTTGGGTACAGGGCAATTGTAGCTGTGGTTTACATGTAGTTTTGGGTGTGCACCCATTGATTTCTATTACAGAAGTCTAAAAACTTTCTAAACAGAGGGCCAGACTTTAGGAGGGAGGGGGACTGTGGCCAATGGGGGTAGAAAATGTCCTGGATTCAGTGGAAATAAACAATGCCTTGGGCTTTGTGGGAGGATTGGTGCCCCATTATTGGTGTCAGTTGGAGGAATAGTGCCCCATCATTGATGTCAGTGAAGGAATAGTACCCTATCATTGGTATCAGTGGAGGAATAGGCTCCCATCATTGGTGTCAGTTGGAGGAATAAAGTCCCATCATTAGTGTCAGTGGAAGGAATAGTGCCCCATCATTGATGTCAGTGAAGGAATAGTGCCCCATCATTGGTATCAGTGGAGGAATAGTGCCCCATCATTGGTGTCAGTGGGAGGAATAATGTCCCATCATTAGTGTTAGTGGGAGGAATAGTGCCCCATCATTGGTGTCAGTAGGAGGAATAATGTCCCATCATTGGTGTCAGTAGGAGGAATAGTACCCCATCATTGGTTGTCAGTAGGAGGAATAATGCCCCATCATTAGTGTCAGTGGGAGGAATAGTGCCCTGTCAATGGTTTCAGTGGGAGGAATAGTGCCCCATCATTAGTGTCAATGGGAGGATTAGCACCCCATAATTGATATCAGTGGGAGGAATAACGCCCCATTATTGGTGTCAGTGGGAGGAATAGTGCCCCATCATTGGTGTCGATTGGAGGAATAGTGCCCCATTGATGGTGTCAGTGGGAGGAATAGTGCCCCATTATTGGTGTCAGTGGGAGGAATAGTGCCCCATCATTAGTGTAAGTGGGACGAATAGTGCTCCATCATTAGTGTAGGTGGGAGGAATAGTGCCCCATCATTGGTGTCAGTGTGAGGAATAGTGCCCCATCATTGGTGTCAGTGGGAGGAATAGTGCCCCATCATTGGTGTCAGTGTGAGGAATAGTGCAGCACAGTTGGTATCAGTGGGAGGAATAGTGCCCCTTCATTAGTGTCAGTGGGAGGATTAGTGCCCCATCATTGGTGTCAGTGGGAGGAATAGTGCCCTCTTGCTGGTGTCAGTGGAGGAATTATGCCCCACTCTTGGTGTCAATGGGAGGAATAGTGCCCCAAGGGCCGGATAAAGAATAGCAAATGGACGCAGTTTTGAGACCCCTGTTCTATTAGACTGTGTGCTTTCTGAAAGTGCATCAAAGATGCAGCGTGCAGGACTTTAATGAGCTTTCATGAAAATGCAGTCTAATAGAAGTCAATGGGAGTGCACCTAAAACTGCATGTAAAATGTACATAAAATGTGCTGCACCCAAACTGGAGTACACTGATGTGAACCCATGCATTACCTACGATTTAACATTCAATTACCCCTACAACATAACCTTAATAGTAGAACTGAAGGTAAAACCTGTTACATTTTTTAAAGTGTAAAGGAGGGTTATAGCCCCTGTCGGGTTTTTGTTCTTGCCTTTGGTGTCCAATTTAGGAGATTTTTCTATCACTTTCTGTTGCATAGCCACAAGAGGTGAGCAGAAAGCCCTCCAATGTAAGGAAATCCCTAGTTGTCAGCAGGATCACCAGAACTAATGTCCCCTTTGGAAGATTTCCCCTCTATTACTGTTCTGGTGAAAACCCAAAATGTGTGCACACTATACACCTGCTGCCAGTTTTATAATACAAGTACTGGGACAAATGAATATGTAGGACTGAACCATGATCGGTGTGCTTACTCTACATGCACTGCTTTGGCCCGCATTCTGTGTACACTGAGCTAGTGTGTGTGTGGCAAAGCAATCTGAATTGGGTAAAACTTGGCTTGTGTAGGGTTACAGAACATCGCACAGCTGTATTCAGTAGGCTCCTGAAAGTGTAGCAACTGTAAAGTTCCCTGTCTAGAATTTTCCACAATAATATATCTATGCATTTGAGCTTTAATAGCCATTTACTACTACAGAGCATATTCACTCACATGCATGGTGATTTCATGCAGTTGAAGGTAATAAAACATATGATATGCCATTATCAGGGAATGTATTTTCCATTTTGCACGGCGTTTGTTTTTTGAGTATATATATATATATACTATAGAGTACATCCTCTTGTTGTTGCAGGTTTGGCTGGGACTTCTGAAACCCATAACCAAGCAAGTGAAAAGTAAGTTTGTAAAACTTTGTGAAAGATAAAATATATAAAGTTTGTAAAAGTACTCTAAAGGAAATAGTATTTCACCTGAAAAAACCGTCCTGAACATTCATTTATGTAGTACAAATATAATCTTATGTTATACATATTTTACACTTCCTTGTGCAGAGTGTGCTTTTTCTTTAAGATCCTAAGGAAACAATTTTCAAATTCATGGTGAAGTTCTTCCCAGTAGACCCGGGGCAACTACGGGGCGAGTTAACTAGGTAATACCTTCTATTTATTTTTATGTTTTTCAAGATAATATGCCTCAATCTGAACACTATCTGTCAGGGATCCCCTCGATCCCCGCCGCGATGGTCCCGGCGCAGGCGCAGTGTGCCGCCCTGTGCAGGGACTCGAGCACTAGGTCCGGGCCGGCCGCGGCGTTCGAGTTCGCGCATGCGCAGTAGAAGCCGCGGCCGCCCGCTGGGCACCAATGGCAGCGCAGCGCAGGGCGGGATATTTAAACGACCCTGAGCTGTCATTCAGTGCCTTCTGGTCTTACCTGTATCCTGTATCTGCGAACCTGTGAATTGTAAGTTGCTGACCAGATTGTGCCTTGACCTTGCTGTATTTCTCCTGCCCTGACCTTTGCTTTGCCTGACCTCTCTCCTGAATGCCCCCTATTGGATTTGACCTGCTGTTGCTGACCTGGCGTGTGACCCGACCATTCTATGCCCGCTGCCTTGTACCTTGCCGTCCTCTCTGTTACCGACCCGGCCCGTCTGACCTTGCTCATCCATCCATCCATCCCGTGCCGTGGGGTCTGCTGACCTCCTCATATCAGACTCTTCCCCGTGGGAGCCCTTGGCGCATACCACTACCACTGACGGACGCACCCAGTAGTAGCCACGACCTGGTCTCAGGGGGCTCCAAGTCCATCCCACCATCAGGGGCCCTGGTGAACAAGCACCCTGGGACTTAGACTCCGTGCGCTGGGGACGCCTATTCAGTGGAGAGCTAGTGGTACCGCCAGGCGGTCCCTTACAGTACCAGAAGGCCATGACTGAGTCTAGAGGAGGGCCATCGCCGCTTGAGGAGATCTGCAGGCACCTGTCTAACTTGACACAGGCCGTATCGGCCCTGCAGGACAGATGTCAGCAGATTGAGAATCACTTCCAGACCTGCACTATATCCGTTCCTGCCCCACAGGCCGCGGTCCCCGCACCCCCGGCCGTAGCAGCCCCTGCGCCGGTGTCTGGGGCATCCGCCCCACTCCCGGCGGCCGAAACCCCGAGTACCCTTACCGGAACGTTTTCACGGGGACCGCACATGCTTCAGGTCATTCCGTGAGTCCTGTCTTCTCTATTTTGAGTTGCAACCACGAACCTTTGTGACTGAATCCGTGAAGGTGGGGTTCGTCATCTCCCTCCGGCAGGGTGAACCCCAAGACTGGGCCCACCGACTGCGGGGAAAAAATGACCCTCACCTTAGTTTGGTTGACAATTTTTTTTGACGCAATGGCCATCCTATACGATGACCCACAGCGGGCAGCTTCTGCTGAAGCTACTTTGTACACGCTCCGGCAAGGCGCCGAGCGGCGGAGGAGTATGCGTCTGAATTTAGGCGCTGGATGGGGGACACACGCTTGGAACGAGTTTGCTCTCCTGCATCAGTTCCGTATAGGCCTATCAGAAGGCCTGAAAGATGAGCTCGCCCGGGTGGAGGTGCCTGAGACTTTAGAGGACTTAATTGCACTGACTATTAAGATTGACCATAGGCTGCGGGAACGCAGGTTTGAGAGGTCCGGCCAGGGTCATGGAAATCCCTGGGGGTCATTTCAGGGTCCCCAGTCAAGCACCTAGGCCAAACATCCAGAACCGGCCACCTGGAGATATCCCTGAACCTATGCAACTTGGCCTGGCATGGCCTAAACTATCTTCAGAGGAACACCAGCGCAGACGATCCCAGAACCTGTGCCTCTCTACTGTGGTGAAGCTGGTCATATGGTACGATCCTGCCTGCAGAAGCTGAGTAAGTGCACCTCTTCTTCCTTGTCCATTGGCAATGTTAGTCAATCCCAATACTTAGTGGTGCCCCTTTCTTTTCAGCTTCCGGAAAGGACAGTGGAAGTATCGGCCATAGTTGATTCGGGGGCATGCAGCTGCTTCTTGGACATTAATTTTGCTCACCAGCAGGGTATTCCTCTCCAATTGAAACAGAAGGGGTTCAATATTTATTTGGCCGATGGTTCCCGGATAAAATCAGGGGTAGTGAACCAGGAAACCCCCTCCATCGCCACTGTCATTGCCGGCCAGCACCAGGAACTGCTCCGCCTGGGATGCTATAGCTTCACCCCTCTTCCCAGTCATTTTGGGGCTCCCATGGTTACGGCCCCATAACCCCCAAATTGACTGGGAGACCGGAGTAATTTCGTTCCCTTCTCCATACTGTCGGGTATACTGCCGCACTTCGGGCCCGGGGGTCCCCCAAATCCTCCTGTGCTCTGAGGGGGAAGCCGAATTAAAACAGGTAATCCCGGCAGCCTACCATGAGTTTCTAGATGTGTTCAGCAAGCGGGGATCTGATACTCTACCCCCCCACCGCCCTTATGACTGTCCCGTTGACCTGTTACCCGGTTCAGAAATTCCTTTTGGGCGAATCTTCCCCCCTTTCAGAGCTCGAATTGGGGGCCCTGAAGGAATATATCGAGGACAGCCTCCAGAAGGGGTTCATCCGCCCCTCCACTTCACTGGCGGGGGGCTGGGGGGGAATTTTCTTTGTTGAAAAAAAGGGACACATAAACCTTGAGGCCGTGTATCGATTACAGGGAGTTGAACAGGGTCACGATAAAGAACCGTTACCCACTGCCGTTAGTACCAGAGTTATTCCAAAGTTTAAAGTCAGCAGTGGTTTTTACAAAGCTGGATTTGAGGGGAGCATACAACTTGGTTCGCATAAGGGAGGGGGGACGAGTAGAAGACGGCCTTCCGCACCCGCTTCGGCCACTTTGAATATTTGGTCATGCCGTTCGGGTTGTGCAATGCTCCGGCCACTTTTCAACACTTTGTGAACGATATTTTTTAGGGACTTCCTGGATGTCTTTGTTATCGTCTATTTAGACGACATTTTGATTTTCTCCCGTTCTTTGGGGGAACACAGAATACATGTAGCGAGGGTATTGGGGCGATTGCGGCAGCATGGGTTGTACGCCAAGGCAGAGAAATGTTGTTTTGAACAATCCAGCATTACTTTCTTGGGCCTGATTATCTCCACCGCGGGGGTCGCGATGGATCCCCAGAAAGTCGCTGCAATACTGGATTGCCCTGAACCCACGGACAGGAAAGGCGTCCAACGATTTATTGGTTTTGCAAATTTTTACTGAAAGTTCATCAAGAACTTCTCGGGTCTGGTCTCCCCCATTACTCAGCTAACCAAGCTGGGAACCCGGTTCAGATGGACACCAGAAGCTCAGGAAGCTTTTGAAGCCTTGAAGAAGTTGTTCACCTCGGCACCCATTTTGGGTCACCCAGACGCCGCCCTGCCCTACATCCTGGAAGTGGATGCATCGGAGAATGCGGTAGGTTCCATCCTCTCCCAGCGGAAAGGCACCAAGGAATTGCTCCATCCTGTAGCATTCTTCTCACGGAAGCTTACCCCAGCAGAGAAGAATTATGATATCGGTGATCGAGAGCTACTGGCGATCAAAACGGCGTTAGAGGAATGGAGGTACCTGCTGGAAGGTGCTGTGCACCCCATCTTAATATTTACTGACCACAAGAACCTAGAATATCTGAGAACCGCCAAGCGTCTACGCCCGCGACTGGCAAGATGGGCACTATTCTTTTCTAGATTCAACTTCCACATTACGTACCGGCCTGGATCAAAGAACACTAAGCCAGATGCGTTATCACGTATGTACGAGGACGCCAAGGAGATCCCAGTACCCGACACCATCCTGTCCTCGGGTAACTTCTTGGTCCTTCAGTCGGACCTTCGTTCCAAGATAATGGAGGCATCCACAACCGTCTCTACCCCAGCCGAGGGCTCCTCCAGAACAAGGGGGGACTCCTATGGAGGGAAGATCGGATTGTGGTGCCGGAGGAAGCCAAACCCTGGTCTTGGGCCATTGCCATGACCACCCGATGGCGGGGCACTTTGGCCCAGAAAAGACCTGGGAACTTCTCCGACGCTCCTTCTGGTGGCCGGACATGGCTAAAGATTGTAAGGGCTATGTAAGGTCCTGTATCACCTGCCAAAAGAACAAGCCATCCAGAAACAAAGTTTGGGGTCTGCTGCGACCCTTACCGATTCCTGAACGGCCTTGGCAAAAGATCTCGTTAGACTTTATAGTCGAGCTTCCGCCATCACTAGACCACACGGCAATCCTGGTGGTCGTGGACGCTTGTCCAAGATGGCCCACTTCATCCCGTTGAAGAAAATCCCTTGGCAGCCGAGACTGCGCGAGTTTTCATTCGTGAGGTAGTAAGGCTGCATGGGGTCCCCGAAGACATTGTCTCGGACCGAGGGGTCCAGTTCACGTCAAGATTTTGGAGGGCACTGTGCAAAGCCCTGGACATCAAATTGTCCCTCTCCTCTGCATTTCCACCCTCAAACTAACGGTCAAACCGAAAGGACCAATCAGACCCTGGAGCAATACTTGAGATGCTACACTTCGTTTACTCAAGATGACTGGATGCCACTTCTCCCCCTAGCGGAATTCGCGTACAACAACGCCCGTCACTCAGCGACGGGACAGTCCCCCGTTCTTTGCCAACTATGGTTTTCACCCCGTCTTCCTCCCGGATTTGGTCCCGGAATGCCCAGTACCAGCAACGCAAGATGTAGTAACGTTTTTCTCCACGAACAATAAGAAGCTTCAAGAGGCCATCAGTCGGGCCCAGGAAGACTACAGGAAGGCATTCAACAGGAAACGGAGGGGAGATCTGGTGTTGCGGCCTGGGGAGAAGGTTTGGCTAGCGACGTCCAATTTAAAGATGCTTTGTCCGTCGAAGAAATTGGGACCCAAGTTTATAGGCCCCTTCTGCATTAAACGGATGGTCAACGAAGCGGCCTACGAACTCGTCCTTCCTGACACACACTCAAAATCCACCCAGTCTTCCATGTGTCCCTGCTGAAGCCAGTAATCCCAGATGCCTTCCCTGACCGAGAATCGAGACCCCCGGAAGCCATAACGGTCGAGGGAGAAGAAGAATTTGAGGTGGAATCAATCCTAAAGTGCCAAAGGAGGGGGGGCCAGGCCCAATTCCTAATCAAATGGAAGGGCTATGGCCCTGAGGACAATTCTTGGGAACCAGCCCAGAATGTCCATGCACCTAGACTTGTCTGGAGGTTCTTTCGCGATCACCCGTGGTGGAGAGATCGGGTGGGCATCCGGAGGTTGCCCTAGGGGGGGGGGGGGGGCAATGTCAGGGATCCCCTCGATCCCCCGCCGCGATGGTCCCGGCGCAGGCGCAGTGTGCCGCCCTGTGCAGGGACTCGAGCACTAGGTCCGGGCCGGCCGCGGCGTTTGAGTTCGCGCATGCGCAGTAGAAGCCGCGGCCGCCCGCTGGGCACCAATGGCAGCGCAGGGCGGGATATTTAAACGACCCTGAGCTGTCATTCAGTGCCTTCTGGTCTTACCTGTATCCTGTATCTGCGAACCTGTGAATTGTAAGTTGCTGACCCAGATTGTGCCTTGACCTTGCTGTATTTCTCCTGCCCTGACCTTTGCTTTGCCTGACCTCTCTCCTGAATGCCCCCTATTGGATTTGACCTGCTGTTGCTGACCTGGCGTGTGACCCGACCATTCTATGCCCGCTGCCTTGTACCTTGCCGTCCTCTCTGTTACCGACCCGGCCCGTCTGACCTTGCTCATCCATCCATCCATCCCGTGCCGTGGGGTCTGCTGACCTCCTCATATCAGACTCTTCCCCGTGGGAGCCCTTGGCGCATACCACTACCACTGACGGACGCACCCAGTAGCCACGACCTGGTCTCAGGGGGCTCCAAGTCCATCCCCACCATCAGGGGCCCTGGTGAACAAGCACCCTGGGACTTAGACTCCATGCGCTGGGGACGCCTATTCAGTGGAGAGCTAGTGGTACCGCCAGGCGGTCCCTTACACTATCCCTACTTGAGTGACTTAACACACTTGAGGAATACCTGGTTATAGACTCTGATTGTCGGTGTGTGTTTAGTGCTACCCCCACAGAGGCAGCTGTAAATTTACAGATTCTTTCCCAAACAGTGCAAAGGCAACAAGGCTCACAGATACAATCCAAATACTCGGGTTCATTGAACAGTCTATGGGATGTGTTTTTAAAATATATTTGCTTGTAGAGTTAGTAACAGGAAGAGGTTTGGGGTGATTTGGGATACTCCGAAACTTTAGATATTGTCAGCAGAGGACACTTCTCACTCAATAACAGCAGCACAAGCAACAAGTAGACTGGAACAGACTATATCCTCATGGCTGTGGATCATCAAGTAAGTTTTAACATAGGTAAAGGTAGAGTGGAACAGTCTAAATCCTCATGGCTGTGCACCATAAAGTTGGTTGAATGACAGGTAAATGTAGACTGGAACAGTCTATATGTTGATGGCTGGGAACCATGAATTGAGATGCAGCACAAAAAGGGAGACTCTGCTCACAGAGTCTTGGAATAGGATTAGTTAGTAGGTGCAGCCTCTGGTAAAGTAGTCCCGGAGCCCCACATTGCCAAGCCAACTTCAAATGTGGCAACGGCAGCTTTAGGGACGAACGAACCCCCACACGTTGTCACAGGGGATTTTCTCTGGGGGTGGGGGGAGTCATATGCTAACATGCAACGTGTTGCTAAAGCTCGTTAGCCTTTAAAGATAACCATTTCAAACTGAGCTTATACATACTGTACATAGATTTGGCCACACAAGATGGTCAATTGTATAAGAGTTACTCTCCGTGTGGCATGCACATAATTAAAGCAGGAGACTAGTATCACATGTGACTGGTCAGGCTGCATTTTTTTAATTGGTTTTGTTAAAGTACAGGTGTGGAGTGTACTATATATTTGCTATTCACTGTACTTTTTCAGGTATCTCTTCGCTTTACAAATAAAAAAAGATCTAGCATCTGGGAAACTAACTTGTAATGACAACAGTGGTGCCTTAATGACATCTTATATCATTCAGGGTAAGTAATATTTGATTTCTATTGCACTGCTCAAAGAAGCGGGTAGAGGGTCTCCTCTCAGAGATAGGGATACAATATGGGTCTGATGGAAGGTATTTGCATTTTGTTTGTTTGTCTTTATGGTTTTTTTTTGCTACTGTAGCTGAGTTGGGAGATTATGAAGAGGAAACCGCCAGGAAACATTTGGAACAAAACCAGTACTTGCCAAACCAGGAGTATCTGGACAACAAGAAGATCCTTAAATATTATCAGCGACATGTGTGAGTGTAATCTCTTTGTATTGAATAAATTAAAAACCCTTTTACTGTAAGACCTCGGAAAACAGGAGAAACCACCTGGCCCATCTGGTAGTCTGGGTCCAAAATAACTTGTAGTAGTTAGCCACATTCACTTGACTTGTTCAGTAGTGTTGAAGGTGTTGCTCCATTTATCATGTTCCTGAAACTAGAGAACTGAGGAAGCCAACTTGGATGAGTGGTGAAACATTACAAATCAAGTCCAGCTAAATGTAACTAACTAAAACTAACTTTTGTCAATGCCTGACCCAGATCAGTACACTCTTGTGGCTTGCTACAAAGTTACAATTTCTGATCACCAAGGGAAAGGGGACTGAGGAAATGCTTCCTCCTGTCTTCAACAGGCTGATGACAGCATCTCAACCTGGACAAAGTCACTCAAATACTTATTTTTAACTGTAATAGGTGTACCTCTTTTTTGTTGCTGTATTTTGTGACATTACAGGAATGCATTGAGCAGACTTGTAAAGTAACTAAAGTTACTAAAATGAATTGTTGTTCCTTTTTCTTCAATAAGAGCCCATGCATCATAAATTCCGGAATAATTCCCACACCCAAAAAGCCTAAGTGCTGTGTACAACCGGCAACTGGTTCTCCCAGTAAAAGTACTTTATTCATAAAGGGTATAGTGTGCAAGTTACAGCAGGTTACGCGTTTCAGTAAAAAAAAAAAAACCCTTACCAAATGCGTAAGCTGCTGTACAGTGAAGGAAATAAGTATTTGATCCCCTGCTGATTTTGAAATGAACAGTATAAAAATCAAATGGTAGGTGTATTGTAATACAGAGAGACAGAATAGCAACAAAAATTTCAAAAGAAATTCATGTCTAACAAATTATGCACCGATTTGCATGTTCATGAGGGAAATAAGTTCATGAGGCAAATAAGTATTTGATCCCCTATCATTCAGCAGGATTTATGGCTACCAGGTGTCTTTCATACAGGTAACAAGCTGAGATTAGAAGCAGTCTCTTAAAAGGAGTGCTGCTAATCTCATTTTGTTACCTGTATAAAAGACACCTGTCCACAGGAGCAATCAAACAATCAGATTCCAAACTCTCCAACATGGCAAAGACCAAAGAGCTGTCCAAGGATGTCAGGGACAAGATTGTAGACCTACACAAGGCTGGACTGGGCTATCAAACTATCGCCAAGCAGCTTGGTGAGAAGGTGACAACAGTTGGTGTCTCCCTAGGTCTGGTGCACCATGCAAGATCTCACCTCGTGGAGTGTCAATGATCATGAGAACAGTGAGGAATCATCCCACAAGTACACGTGAGGATCTTGTCAATGATCTCCAGGCAGCTGGGACCACAGTCACTAAGAAAACAATTGGTAACACACTACGCCGACAAGGATTGAAATCCTGCAGTGTCCACAAGGTCCTTTTGCTCAAGAATGCACATGTCCAGGCCCGTCTGGAGATTGCCACTGAACATCTGAATGATGCAGAGGAGGACTGGTGGAAAGTGTTGTGGTCAGATGAAACCAAAATCGAGCTCTTTGGCATCAACTCAACTTGCCGTGTTTGGAGGAGGAGGAATGCTGCCTATGTCCTAGCCAGTCTCCAGACCTTAATCCGGTTGAAAATCTGTGGAGGGAGCTGAAGATTTGATTTGCCAAATGTCAGCCACCAAACCTTAATGACTTGGAGAGGATCTGCCAAGAGGAGTGGGCCAAAATCCCTCTGGAGATGTGTGCAAACCTGGTGGCCAACTACAGGAAACGTCTGACCTCTGTGATTGCCAACAAGGGATTTGCCACCAAGTACTAAGTCAAGTTTTTGAAGGGGATCAAATACTTATTTCCCTCATGAACATGCAAATTAGTGCATAATTTGTTAGACATGCATTTCTTTTGAATTTTTTGTTGCTTTTCTGTCTCTCTGTGTTACAATACACCTACCATTCAATTTTTAGACTGATCATTTCTTTGTGAGTGGGAAAACATTCAAAATCAGCAGGGGATCAAATACTTATTTCCTTCACTGTAACTTACACACTGTACCCTTTATGAATAAAGTACTTTTATCGGGAGAACCAGTTGGCAGCTCTTCACCTTATACTCTGATGCTGTGCCAGGAAGACACTGTGAGCTTTGGAGAATCGTTGGTCTACCTCCAGGGGAAGTCAACCCAGGTGTACATTTTCAGCTGTGTACAGCCACCCAAAGACATGAATGACTGCACAGATGTACTCAGATATACGCCAGTGCTTTATAGTTTACAGATGTATGCAAAAATAGAAAATAGTTCCCTTTTTTTTGTGCATACAACTGTATAATATCTGTTGCGGGGCTCAAACGCCCGTGTACAGCAGACATAAAGAAGGATTCATAAAGGAAGAAAATCCTCTGTGTAATTGGTGAGTCTAGTAGTGGAGACATGACTTGGAGCACCAATGTTTTTATTTTTATCAATGTAAATATACCCTTAATGATATGCTTTGGAGCTTAAGATGTCTATACTGGAATTGGTCATTGCTAGTATTGTTAGTCAGGATGACAGTCTCTAATAGGTATTTTTTTCTTACAGAGGGAAATCTCCAGCGGATGCAGACATGCAGCTGTTAGACATAGCTCGGAAACTGGACATGTATGGAATCAGACCTCATCAGGCCATAGATGGAGAGAACATGCAAATCAATCTTGCAGTTGCTCATATGGGAGTCTTGGTGATACGGGTCAGTACAACCATGTGTAGGCCTTTTGCTAGAAATAATTATAAAGTGGCAATCTACTACACTTTTGAAAAGAAGTGAGTATTCTGGGCAACTGGATTTTTCTTCTAAATGTCCCATATGTTACTCTACCTTATTTATTGTGTAAATACAAGAAGCCATAAATGCTTCAAGAACTTTATGGTTTTGCAGTTGTGGTTTGTCCCTTTACGGCAGGCCTTGACCTCTCTGTTACAGTTGGGTAATGTATTTTTTTTAAAGCTAATAGAGCGGTTGTTTTACCTGCCAAATGATTTTCAGTTCTGTCCATCCAGTCCTGAGACTTACAGAGCTCTGCCACACAACAATTCCCCGTGTGGTAGGGCAAAAACACTTCAAATGTTTTTTTGCTGCTGCTGTTAAGCGATACTTACGGGTCTTGTAAGTTCCCAAACCTGTGAATGGATAGTTAAAAGAGAAGCACCACACTGATAAGCTCATCTCTCTGTCACTTGTCACAATGCTTTCCCCATAGCAGAATGCTTCTTGGTAGTGCATGAGTACCGCATTAAGACTGTGTGACTCCTTTTGCTGTCTACTGTCCCCCTCTACCCATTTGGACTCTGGCTACACAGAGACTCCAAGAGACTAATGCCAAGCGATATCAAGACACTTGCGATGTTTACATTAAAAAAAAAAAAATACATTTCATGATGTATGAACTGTGTTCACTTGTGGAGTTCAGCTTTAAACTACAACCAACCCAAGTTCAGAGAGAGGAGGAGTAATTTCCTGATCGCATTTTAATCTACACCTAACTTGGTGTCCCTCATCCACAGATCTGCATATAATGGGTAGGTAGTTGGGTGATACATCCTCCATGCTCCCCTCCTAGTTGGGTGCCAAGAGTGGATCACATTAGAGGACTACCCCTGGAATGAGGTCTTCTGGGATACGCTAGGCACTTTGGACAGGTCACTCACCTTGTACATATATCTTTACTGTGCTGTGCTCAATGCCCCGGGACAAGGCAGGGAAATGCTTTCAGGGACAGCTCAACCTTAAGGCAGACCCACAACTCAAAGATGGCTGTGCACATTTGAGCAGTAAACTGTCCTCAAGTTAACTCTCTTGTCCGAATGTCAATGTACACCTTCACTGTAACTTGTTGCATTTAGGAGAGACACGCTGAGCTGATGCCCTCTCCACCTGTTCAGCGTATGTCCACTACTTCACTCCCAGTAACGGAAGCGCAGACTCCATGCGTGCTCTGTTAACTGTTCCTCTTCCAAATTCAGTGCCCATGCTGGGAACCTCTGAGTGCTGATATGATCCCTTTGCTATGGGAGACAGACCACCAGGGGAGATAATGCGTACAACAACTCCCTCGCTACAAGAGGCTGTCCCACCTACCACAGGTGCACGCTTCATGACAGACTGTTTGCTAGACCTCTATTATCCTTGGTAACAACTTGCTGCTTTCTGTACCATATTAACTCTTGTACTGCTGTCTTCATACCCCAATTTGCTTAACTGACCCCAAGCTACAGATGACTATGTATGATGTACCAGTTACTTTTATTCACCCCTTTAATAACTCCAGACCAGGTGTAACATACATATAAGATTTGAGTAGCTGAGATGTGACATAAATATAAAGATTTGAGTAGCTGAGATGTGATCTGTAGAAAATTTGACAATGTAGGTTTAGCTTCATTCCATTGTAATATAAGATGTGTTCAGAATTAAGGCAGAGGCATATGGTCACCAATTAGTATCTGAAAGGGACAGAGCTTCCTCTGGAAGGAGGTGACACCTGGGTGCCAATAAGATTTGTCACCTTCTGGGAAATATGGAAGGAAAAGGCTTGAGACAGTTCGGCTGCAGGAGACCAGGGGGGGGCTCCGATCTGTCTGGAAAGCTTTAAAGTATATACAGAGATCAAAGGAATAGATTTAATCTCTCATAAAAGCTAAAATATTAGTTGCAGAGAGATGAAAATAATTCCTTCTGATTGGACACACTGTAGGCTACATCTGCATGTAAAAACTGTATTTGTGGCCTATGTAGAATGCCAGAAAAATGCAGGAAATGGTTATGTGGCGCCGGATTGCGACAGTTGAACAGTGATTGGTACTGTCACGATCAGACTGATGCGCTGGTGTCGGAAATTCAATCCCTGACTTGGTGATTCAAACCGTTCCTGGTCCAAGCGACTTTGGGCATTTCAGCACCCAGAACGTCCTGTGGGCTGGTACAGGAACACCCCCCAGGGTTGATTGGCCAAGGACTACTGCCCAGCCCACGTCCATATTCCCATAAATTGAGGACTTGAGGTATGGACGTTGTGATTCGTATGGAGCCCATCCTATTGACTGACGGATCGCGGACTTTCTCTGACTTGCTCCAGTCGCAGGATAAATCTTGGTAAAAGTTTTATTTCTGTTTTTTATAGTGAATAGTCAATTGTGTGTCTTCTTGTATTTTTTGTAACTTTTTATACTTTGTACATATTTTATGCACTGCCCACTTTGGGATATTAAATCTTAAAATTAATAAGTGACTTCTGGGTACTTAAGCTTGGGCTCATATCTCCGGAGAGATTAGATTGTATTGTATTTTGGTGTCTTTATATGCTTGGTCAAGTTCATTGCCAATCTGTATGCAATTGCACTGCGTGTTGGCAGATTGCATGCAGATTGTAAGGGTAACAGGTCTGCCAGACGGAGATCTATGTGTGTGTGTGGTGTCCCAGCAGACCATTCTGCGGATAAACTGTTGGGTGGTGGCAAGCTACCGTTTTGTGGTATGTCTGGTGTGGGGGTGTGTGTGGACAGTGGAAGAGTGATTAACACCGGGGTTCAGGCTTGTAGGACAGCTGGAGGAATCCTAGAAGGGTGTGTCGATCGCTAGGCGGCTCCTCAACCCTAATTAGTGCACCAGATTGTATGTAAGATTTGTGTCTACCTGTGTGTGTGGTCAGCCAGCTGGATTGGAGTGGAGTCTCCCTCTAGTGGTGGCTAGAGGTAGCGCGGGCTGTGAAAGTATATCACGGCTGGTCCTATATACGTATATATATTCAGATTAAGTCCCCCCTTATTCCCTCTTACCCCAAGTCACGGGCGCACGTGCGCACCTTGGTTAGCTAGTCGCTGTGGGCATGTGTGTGTGGGTTGGATCCCTGACACCAGGCATAGCAAGGTTTCAACTCTTTACAATTTTTCCCTAACCTAGTACCTAACTCAGACTTGTGGCTGCCCCAGCATACCTGCATAGGATGAAAGTTCCTTAATAGCAGAGTCCATAAAAGTAAAATCAAGATACTGGTGTTTTCTGAGAGGACTGCAGTCCCAGCAGTCCCCTGTGTCTTGTCTGTGCCTTCTTCTCAGACTGTGTGTCTGGGCAGAGCCCTCCCCCCCCTTTTTTTATCACCACAGGGAGAGAGGTAAAGCCCAGCAGAAAGTGAGGGAAACAGAGATAACTCTTTTCCTCCCGGCTGGTGCAGCAGCTGTCTCACCTGCTTATATGCAGATTTTTATTCCTGGAGTCAAGGCTGCTGTTAGAAATCATGGGACCCCTTACCCAAAAAAATAATAAAATTATATTTTCATTAAGATTACACTAAAATCACTATCAGTGGGCAGCAGGGGGAATCGAATCCTGCACAGGGAAGGTAATTGGTGAAGCAGGGAAGGGGGGGCAATTACAGGAACCGATCCCCTGTGAGTCTATCCCTGTAGCAGCTGAAAGCCGATGGGATAAGAGAAAAAGAAGCCAGCTTTCAGCTGCTGCAGGGAGAGACACCCAGAGGATCAATTCCTCTAATTGCACATATCTGATTTCCCTGCTGTCCAGGTGTTGCTTACACATTCTTGTAGGGTCATACACTACCAAGAATGAATGTATTGGCGCAGCATTTAGCACAGATGATTGCATATACCTCTGCTACCCTCCACACGTATATACTTACTTTTGCAATGTATGACCCTACATGTCTATGTGAATGAGGTCTAAAAGTACCATCAGCATATAGTTTCTGATTAGAAGCAGCAGATCACTCTGCACATGTGACAGTGCTTAGGCATATACTCTCACATGACTTTTTTGGATTTGCAATTATATCTTGCCCACTCCGGATCATAGTTTTACATTGATGTGATCAGTGTTGGGTCTAAAAACTGGGTGTGCTGCCAAGACATAAGTTGTGCTTCTAAGGGCTCGTGTACACTGCATTAAACTGACGTTCAGGAGCTGTTCAGCATTTTTTTCAACTCTCCGTAATGTTTTCCTTCCATGTACACATAGTCGTTTACAGTCGTACAGGCAGTTGAGTTTACAGTCGTTTGAACGCACCAAACTTACGTTTCAGTAGATTTTACCAGTGTTTCAAATGCCATACTTGTAAACGCGTTTTCGCCTTGTTTGCGTTTAGAAGCGTTTTTTACTGTTCCATGGATACTGTCCAGAACCTTTTTTCATCATCAGAAATGCATACAAAGCGTTTTTTTGCAAATGGACCCAGTAGGACAAAGTCAGTTTTGCGTAAAGAAAAAATGGTAGAACGTGCTGCATTATGCTCATGTTGGGATCCATAGTGAATACAACCAGAAAAGATAGGAAATCTCAACACAGACTATAACTGGATACTAACATTTATAGGTAAAGTTGATCCAGGGAATATCCGATTGCCTCTCGGGGGATCAGGAAGGATTTTTTTTTTCCCTGCAGGAGCAAATTGGATCATGCTTTGCTGGTTTTTTTTACCGTCCTCTGGATCATTTGTGGGATATAGGATTATAACTTTTTTTTTAATGGTTGAACTGGATGGACTTTTGTCTTTTTTCAGCCAGACTAACTATGTAACTATGTAACTGTGTAACACATACTGCTCTCTCTGCTTCTGCTCTCTTAATTTCTCTCAAAATGTCCGAATAATAATAAGTAATTTTTTACTGTTTTTCAGTGCATTCTGAGCATTTGGGAAGGTCTCCTGAGGTTATTTTTTTTTTAAATGCTTCTAAACGCAAACACTCATAAATGCAGTATGCAAACGTGGCTAAACTGACATTTTTTAACCTACTTTTTCCAGCAGTCAATTTCCATCATTCAGAAGAGTTTTCCAAATGCCCCGTGTACATGAGCCCTAATAGTATAGCAACTACTTTGTAGTGGCACAGCAATGTTAAAGAGATGATAAAGTGGGCCTTTTTGAAAAAGCAGTTAACAGTGTCCACTGTAAATACAATATCATTTACAAATAATTTGTCTTTCACTGTTTAAAGAATAGGGTTGCTAAAGTTTAGGTTCACTTGAAATCATTGTTTTTTTTTTTGTTTTTTTTTCTAGGGAAACACTAAGATAAACACCTTCAACTGGGCTACTGTCAGAAAGCTGAGCTTCAAAAGGAAACATTTCCTGATCAAACTTCATCCCCATATTGATGTGAGCAGTTCCTAAGTTGATTATTCATGCTATGCTGTAGAATATTTCCTATTAGGCATTGCCATGTATTTACTCTGTGCTTATAAGGTATCCACGGTAGAAGAAGCTTTCTTTTTATTACTCTTTCATTTAAACCAGAACATGCCTATCTTTTCCTTGAGCAGCAAGGTCCATAATTATTTGCAAGCTCTGAACGCACCAATCCAGGAGTATGAAATTGTGCTGATTTAAAAAGGCAAGAAATAAATCATAAATATTTTTGAAATGTATTGCTACTGCAGTAAGTCTACTTAGCAAATTTCCTTACTGAATAGTTCAATTGGCAGGTGCAGTAGCTATAAACAATACAATGCTTTGTTTTTATTGAGTTACCAGCCCCTAGAAATGTGACCACTCACTTAAACTAGAAAAGCTACAATTTCTGGGGAAATTGTGTGAAGTGTTCTTGCCTCCACCAGTAGTCTACAGCTGGAGTGGGCGGAGTAACTGGGTGGAGTGGCTTGAGTAACTATTGTGTGGGTGGAGTGGCTGGAGTAACTATTGTGTGGGTGGAGTGGCTGGAGTAACTATTGTGTGGTTGGAGTGGCTGGAGTAACTATTGTGTGGTTGGAGTGGTGGAGTAACTATTGTGTGGTTGGAGTAACTGTGGAAAGGTTGGACTGGGCAGAGTAACTTTATAGAGTGGGCAGAGTAACTGTGTGGAGTGTTTGGAGTGAGTAAAGATAGTAAACATTACACTAACCAATTGATTGATCAAATTTAAAAAGTGCACATGGCAAGCTTGATAGAGTGAGAAATGCATTTCAACTTTTATTTTTCAGCTTACACTCTAGCTTTTGTCACTCTGCTACCTGCTCACACACCTGGGTTTCTATAGCAACTCACTCTACAGCAAGGGCAGAGAAAGAGCGGTTAAAAACAAACTGCTCCAACTTTCTCACTTCACTGGCGCTTGCCATCTTCAAACGGTTGTAGGTTAAAAATGATAAATCCTACACTGAACAGCTTTATATTGTGAGAATCACAAGACCCAGGCCTACATTGTGATGCATAGTATGTCTCTGAAATATTAAAAATGAAGGCACAGCCACAGTTTCGAATTTGCCCTTCAAATTTGAGGTGGCTAGAGTGGAGTTTCAATGAATGTCAATGGGCGGCATGAGTTGCAAACAAATGGTCATATTGTGAAAACTATCAGGACTATGGCTTAGCCGTGGACATTTTTAGTGTCAGCAGGGATAGCTGAACGTTTTGATACAAGATTTGTGTAGGTGGGCTTGAAAATGGGGGAGTGATGGCAGTTTAGAAATCATGTCCTGATTTTTCATTTCACACTCTAGCTTTTGTCAGCTCCCACTCTAGTTTAGAACTTTCTGCTATTCATTCCTATGGGACCAATTTCACCACAAAAACGCCGATATTCCGTGAACCATTCGGCGAAATGTTCCACAAAGTAATAGCACACCAATCGGGAACAATCCGCACGTTTCGGTATATTACTGTCTATGTAGTGTAAAAACTGTGGGAGGAGTTAGGGTGGTAAATTTGGCTATAATAAGAATATATATGTGAGATAACAGTAAGTGGTCTTGCCATGCAAGAACACTTAATAAAAACAATAATCATTTGAGATGCTCTATTGGATCTGGGCTGTATAATGCATTGTTTAAAAAGTGTTTACAAAAGGAAATACTACATGTATTGATAATCTTTTCAATAATCTACAAGTCTAACAATCATTAAATTTTGCAGACCTTATGCAAGGATACCCTGGAATTCACTATGGTTACTCGGGATGCCTGTAAAGCCTTCTGGAAAACCTGTGTGGAGTATCATGCCTTCTTTCGTCTGTGTGAAGAGCCTAAGTGTAAACCAAGGCCTTTCCTGTGTAGTAAGGGTTCCAATTTCAGGTACAGGTAAGGAAAATTTTTTAGAACTCAGTTACTGTAAGCTTACTGAGTAGGGCAAAGAGCAATGCTATAATAGCCAATCGGTATTCATCTTTCTCTCATTCACATATAGTAGTATATTTTATTGATCTTTCAAAAGCTTGATAAAATGAAAGCAGAGCACAGACAAATTATACATTAACATTTGAGATAATACGTGCTCCAAGTAAAATTTAATATTTTTTCTGACTGATTTTCACTAGTTTTGCATTTGGCTAGGGTCAGTGTCACTACTGGTAGCATGAGGTGATACCTTGACCCTACAGATGTTGAATAGGCAGTCCAAACTTTCCCAGGATGGCACATCAATACGTGCCATTGCCAGGAGGTTTGTGGCATCTCCCAGCACAATCTAGAGGAGATTCCAGGAGACAGGCAGTTACTCTAGGAGAGCTGGACATGGCCGTAGAAGATCCTTAACCCATCAGCAGGACCGGTATCTGCTCCTTTGTGCAAGGAGGAACAGGATGAGCACTGCCAGAGCCCTACAAAATGACCTCCAGCAGCCCACTGGTGTGAATATCTCAGACCAAACAATCAGAAAGAGACTTCATGAGGGTGGCCTGAGGGCCCGACGTCCTCTAGTGGGCCCGTGCTCACTGCCCGGCATCATAAAGTTCGATTGGCATGTGCCATTAAACACCAGAACTGGCAGGGCCACCACTGGCACCCTGTGCTTTTTACAAGCGAGAGCAGGTTCACTCTGAGCACGTGACAGATGTGAAAGGGTCTGGAGAAGCCATGGAGAATTTTGTGCTGCCTGTAACATCGTTCAGCATGACTGTTTTGGTGGTGGGTCAGTGATGGTCTGGGGAGGCATGTCCATGGAGGGACGCACAGACCTCTACAGGCTAGACATTGTCCCCCTGACTGCCATTATGTATCGGGATGAAATCCTTGGACCTATTATCAGACCCTATGCTGGTGCAGTGGGTCCTGGGTTCCTCCTGGTGCACAACAATGCCCAGTCTCATGTGGTGCGGGTATACAAACAGTTCCTGGAGGATGAAGGAATTTATACCATTGAATGGCCCCCACTCTCGCCTGACCTAAATCCAATAGAACACGATCCTACGATGCCAGGTTACACCTCAGACTTTCCAGGAACTCAATGATGCCCTGGCCCAGATCTGGGAGAAAATACCCCAGGACACCATCCATCGTCTCATTAGGAGCATGCCCTGACATTGTCAGGCATGCATACAAGCACGTGGGGCTATACAAACTGCTGAGTACCATTTTAGTTGCTGCAATGAAATTTCAGCAAAATGGACTAGCCTGCTGCATCATTTTTTCACTTTGATTTTTGTGGTGTCTTTGAATTCAGTCCTCTGTAGGTTGATAATTTTCATTTCCATCAAACGATGGGGCATCCTTACGTTCCTAACACATTACCCGGTCCATGTCAGTATAGATATCCAGCATGATATTTTTCCCCATTGAGATCTGATGTGTTTTTAAAGTGTCTCTTTAATTTTTTGAGCAGTGTATTTATTGGGTGGCTGCCAGTGATCATCAATTCAATGGCTACATAAGTAGAGATCCCAGTATGAATTTTAGTCTAGCCCATCCTAACACTTTATGGCTTAGAAGTAGCAGTACCAAGCAGAAAAATGCTGTAATGGGAACCATCATGTCAATGCTGAGTACAGATGCTATTGAGGGCAAGGCACACAGTATAGTAACTCACTAACTTCTACATAACTTGCAATCTCTGCTTGACCACTGTATAGATAAAATTATAATTAAAAGGAGAAAGGAAAATACAGATCCTTTAAGCTATACACCAGGTATGATCTTAATTGCAGAGTTACATTGGCTTTGCCTTGACTGATGTAAATATGCGTATTTCATACCTGAGCTACCACTGTGGACACTGACAATCGCTGTAATATTTGGCAGTACTATAGTGATCACTGAGATCTTCCAGTTTCTGTGCTAAGTGGCTACCCCACTGCATGCTGACCACATGGGGTCGCTCACTTGACATCTACGCCATGCATGAATGCCTTGTATTTTTCCAGCGAATATAAAGCATTCTTTGATTGGATGAGGTGGAGAGGAGGGATGGTAACAACACCTTCTCCACCTTTTCCAAGCAGAGAATTCCTTGTTTTTTTAAATGAAATAAATACAAGGCATTCCTTGAATGGGGTGGTGCAGATTGCGCCCCCCTGTGGTCAGTGTGCAGTCAGGAAGCTGCACGGCATGGCACCTGGAAGATGGTGGCAGTCACTGCAATATTGCAACTATGACAAGGATTTCCAGCATCCAAAGCTGTAATTGGTGCTAAAGGTGCTTCAACAAAGTATTAAGCAAAGGCTGTGAATACTTATGTACATGAGTTTTTTTTGTTTGTTTTTTATTTTTAATAAATTGCAAAGATTTCAAAAGGGGCTTCTTTCACGTTGTCATTATGGGGTATTGTTCGTAAAATGTTGAGGACAAAAATGAATTTAATCCATTTTGCAATAAGGCTGTAATATATCAAAATGTGGCAAAAGTTGAGTGCTGTGAATACTTTCTGGATGCACTGTAAATGCTTCTAAATGCAGGTTTGAAACTGCCAGTATGAATTTAATGGCTGCAACAGGAAGGCAGAGCTGGGAACTTTCACAGTACAAAGCTGGAAAGTGAATAAACCCAAAACTGTATATCTGATATTAAAATATTAGATTTGTATGGACTAAACATTTCATGCCTTTTCATAAAAATTACATTTTATTTAGTGGAAGAACCCAAAAACAACTGTTTGATTCTTGGACTAAAGGAAAGGCTAAGAATCTGCCTTTTGAAAGGTAAGCTTCATCTTTAACAGCAGATACAGATTGCTGATGACTGCTCCTGAGCACATTAATGGTTTTCTTATGTCATTTCAGGAAACACTTAAAAGCAAATCTTCATGAAAGACAGTGTAGATCCTCTCCTGACCTCCTTTCTGAAGTGGCAAAGCAGGTAGGATGTAAACTGTATGCTGAAGCATGTGCTATGCTCTAGCCAGACTAGGCAGGAAATAAAATATTAGTGAGGGCGCAATCTAAGTGCAGTATTAATCACATTACGTTTTCAATTTCAAAATTGGCTTTGATGTGACCCGGAGCTTAATCACATTTATTTAGTTTAAAGACAACTGGTAACTTAAGAAATGATAGAAGGAGAAGCACAACTGAGAGCGAGTCGATAGGGCTGTCATCTAGGAATTCCTCCTGCTTGTGTATGCTGGATTCACTGAGACACAGCAGAATGCCAGGTCTTGATAAATCCAGCATACTAAATGGGCAACGTCTCGGTGAATCCAGCATACTGAGTGGATGATGTTTTTCCTGCTGCCCTGGCATGCACAAGCAGGAGGAATCCCTAGAAGACAACCCTGTCAGCTCAGAGTTGATATATGTGCTTCTCTTTCTGTCATTTTGTAAGCTGCCAATTGTCTTTAAACTAAATAAATGTGATTAAGCTCCAGGTCACATCAAAGCCGATTTTGACCCAGATGTCTATGCAAATCACAACAAAAGTAGTGCATGCCCTACTTTAGAAATCGGTGCGGCTCCGACCAAGTTGGAACCGCACCAATATGACCACTCTAATAGCGGACAATAGGGTGCGACTGGGCATACAATTTGCAAGTCGCATGGCATGCAAATTGCATGATAAGTCGCACCTGATGTGACTGGGGTGTAATACTGCACTTAGATTGCGCCCTCTGGTGTTCCTTTTATGTTATACAGTTTGGAGCATTTCCTTAGTCTCTGAGGATGCTGCAGAAAATGTATGGGAAGGAACAGAGATAACCCCTGCTGTACTTGATAGGACTGATATCTTGATCCTGATCAGTTTTTACATGAACGTTTTGGTTATTTGAGCACCAAGTTCACTCTTGAACATTCATTACATATTAAAGTATTTGGCTTACATTGTTATGAGATGTCCTGCAATGGTCGACTTACTATGAGGTGCCCATGACTTTAAAGCTGAAATCAGGGCAAAACAACTTGTGTGCAGTAATGCAGCATTAAAGCAATCATGCAATTTGTTTCTGTGAAGGAGCTTCTTGTAATAAGACCCGTTTTTGCTGCTTCTCTAAATTTGTGCAGAGGACTAGTCCTGCATGTGCTTCCCCTTCTGGTTTTCTGTAGGAAGCTTGTAGTGGGAAGGATGTGCTAGGTCCCTTGCATAGCATTACTCTCTGCATGGGCTATGTACAGCACAAGGATGATTGCTCTGCTAGTTTTACAAGGTAATGTCTCGATTTGCAAAGGAGCTTGGTGAACTAAATGTAGATTTAGATCCTTTGTGACTACTGAGGAATATATTTCAATTAATGGTTTTGTGCCTGAAGGTCAGCTATAAAGTGTATCAGAACCCAAAATTAAAATTGTCATTTTTTTGTAGCTTACCAGCTCCTAAAATAGTTCTAAAGTCTATAGGTGTTTTAAAATGCATGCTCTGCATTAAAGCCGGGTTACAGTCTCCTCGGCACTTTTCTACAAAAAGCACCTCCATGATTCTCTTCAGTTGCAGTATATAATTAGGACAGTGTTCTACGTGTATACCGTTTGCTTACTTGTAAATGTGACATTCCTCAGCAGGATTCCGGCAGGCAGGCAGCAGCCATTACTAGTGTGGGCATCTGAAGCCAGCTCCTACTTTCTTCTGGATTCGGCACAGCTGGCTACCCAGCATGCACCTCCTGATCTCACGCTTGCGCTGTAAGGACACAGGATGGCACACTGTGGTTTGTAGGTTGCCATAACAATTGAGGCAATGACGGAAGATCCTGCCCCGTTGTTATCGGAACCTGTCAATCATTCCTCCTGATAATGTTACTTCCAGTCAAAAAATACCACAAGACTTTACCATTAAGCTTCCCAAAGACACCTGGGAAAACCAATGGCGATTTCCCAAGAGTCCTAGGGAATCGCATAATAAAGAAATCGCCTAGGCGGCTGGACCGGAAGTACTGGATACTGACAGCCAAAAAAGGTATTTAGAAATCAATAAATAAAAAATAACAGACTGTTCTGTGGGTGGGCATTGTGTGGCAAGGATCATGAAAAAAGGGTGGAACTCTGCTTTAAGGTAAAAAAAAAAAAAAAACCCTACCTGTTCTACCTACCCCCATCCCTAAACAACTGGCTGCTCTCACTGCTCCAGGGCTGTCTTTGCTGCAGCACTGCTCCTCTTGCTTCCTACTTTCACAGGAGACACTGAGGACAGCGAGGGGCCATAGGCTCTTGTTGCTGTTGGTTAAACTCCTGTGAGAAAGGATAAGACTGGCCTTCATGACTTCAACTGGAGCACACATAGGGTTGCCCTTCTACATGCTCAGTGGTTGAATGGAGCAGCGGTTAAGCAAAGAGTGTAAGTATGAACCTAGATAGGGGACATTAATGTGAACCTGTTTGCTGTATGACTTTGGCTAGCCTAATACTAACATTGTGTTCTGGGTGCAAGGGATCTGTTTGTAAAGACTTGCATCTTGATTGTGTATACCTCATCTATGGCACATTCCAGCCTCCTTGTGGGTGCACTTCATGATATCACTTCTGGTGATATGTTTTCTCCATCTCCACACTTGACTGCCACCATGATGCCAACCACACCTGGAGCTGTGGATGTACCATAGATGAGGTATACAACTCACAAGACACAATAGAGAAGAAGGTAAAAATAAAAAGGTCAGCAGAAGGATTTTTAATCTTGCATTAGGAAGTACCATGGTTATCCATTAATGTTTTATTTTTTTGTTTATGCCCACCAGCCTAATGATTTATGCCTGGTGTACACCAGCAGACCATGTTCTAGAAGTGTCAACAGTGTGGGGTGGGATCCCCTTATGGACAGGAACAGAAGGAACTCTGCTGTCGACGTACTCTTCAGCAAAGAGATGGAACGCTTTAAACCTGATGAGCTGGAGCTAGTAGCTTTGCAGCAGTCCAAAAGCAGCTCCTCATTCCCTGGCTGTAGTTATAGCGATCTACTAAGTAATGAATCTCATCAACAAATCCAGAGGAGACCTGTGTCCTGTTATGAGGAAAGTAACTATTTCACTGAAAACCGCAAAAGCTCATCTGAAGGTAGCATGAGAGAGGTTTTGCCTTCATCATCAAGGATTTCCTACACTGATACAGGCCCTGACCCATGTTTTACCAGACACTATGTGAAAAAGGGGCTGCCTAACAGATACTGCTATACAGACGGAATAACCCAATTGCCAGCGCAGGCCTCTGCTGTAGTGGAAGAAATCATGAGGCTTACTAGTCAATCTAAGCTTTTTCCAGGACAGCCAGCAGATCGCAGTCCAAGTGCTAGACGATTGAAGGAGTATCACCAGCCAGTCTACCCCAGGACTAGCTGCAAGGGCAGTGCGAACGTGGTAAACCAAACAGATGCACATATAACAAATATGGAAAATTCTCAAGATCCTTATCCAAAAAGATCTTGGAGTCATTCAGATATGAAGTCTGAATGGTTACCACGTGGGTCAGAATTCAGACCTTTGGGTCCTTATCCTATCTTCAGCAGGACTTCAAGTGTCTCAAGAAACCCTTTGCCACATAAGCTTATTCCATTACCACTTCCCCCTCCACCACTTCCTCCCCCTCCCCCACCACCTCTCGCTCTTGCTCCATCATCATCTTCAAAGAAAGGTCCACAAATGACTGAGCGTTATGTCTACAGTGGGACTGAATCCAGTGACTCTGATTCTGAGATCATAAATCCATACTACTATGCTGTTTTTGGTAAAAACATCAGACATCCTATGGCTAGAGTCAGACTGTCATCAGGAAGCCTCCAGCTGGATGATGAAGAGGAGGTTCCACTAAACGTTCATGGATGGGAAAGCAGGAAACCCAAATCAGAGAGGAAACATTATTATACTTAGGGATATTTATAGCTGAACATTTTGGAGCAGAGAACTGAACATTACGATGACCCATAACAGTAGCCAAAGCCAGTTCAGCATTGTGGCCTATAGCAGAAGCACTATACACATACACATCACATGCACTATACACATCAAAAGTGTAGCTGGGTTTTAATATTATTATTCAGCACTCAGCATTCTGACTCTTGGCATCGTATTATGCACCTGGCAGGAGGACTGTGTGTGATGCTGTTTAGGTCTGCTCTGCCCCAGAACCAGCGGTGTTACCTAGTGTAGATCTGTGGCAGTCAGAAGATAACAGACATCTTAACAGGTAGGCCTCATGGACACAGGACGTTTTGCAAACTCTCCTAGAAGCCTTTCCTCCTGGCAGCAGTGTTTTGGCAGAAAAAAGCCCGATGCTTGTAAAAAAAAAAGTGCACAGCCTAGTAAATCATCCCCTATGTGTGCATGGATACATAGACTAACATGCAGGGGAGTTGAGAGGCAGGAGGAAAAAAAAAACACCTGACGCCCCCAGAAGCAGCTGCAAAAACATCCAGTGTGCATGAGGCCTAGGCATTGGAGACAATGTAATTGCTGCATATAGACCAGGAAGTGTTAACTACACTGCTCAGGAAAATTTAATGAATACTTTTTAATCAGAGTATAGCATCAAGTCAATTAAACTCCTGGGATATTGATCTGGTCAGTTAAGTAGCACAGGGGGTTGCTAATCAGTTTCAGCTGCTTTGAAATTAACAACAGGTGCACTGGTTGGGCAACAGTGAGATGACTCCCAAAACAGGAATGGTTTTACAGGTGGAGGCCACTGACATTTTTTTGCCTACTCATTTTTTCTGATTTTTTTTACTAGTTTTGCATTTGGCTAGGGTCAGTGTCACTACTGGTAGCATGAGGCAATACCTGGACCCTACAGAGGTTGCACAGGCAGTCCAACTCCTCCTGGATGGCACATCAATATGTGCCATTGCCAGAAGGTTTGCTGTGTCTCCCAGCACAGTCTCAAGAGCATGGAGGAGATTCCAGGAGACAGGCAGTTACTCTAGGAGAGCTGGACAGGACAGCAGAAGGTCCTTAACCCATCAGCAGGACCGGTATCTGCTCCTTTGTGCAAGGAGGAACAGGATGAGCACTGCCAGAGCCCTACAAAATGACCTCCAGCAGGCCACTGGGGAGAATGTCTGAACAATCAGAAACAGACTTCATGAGGGTGGCCTGAGGGACAGACGTGCTCTAGTGGGCTCTGCGCTCACTGCCCGGCACCATAGAGCTCGATTGGCATTTGCCATTAAACACCAGAATTGGCCGGTCCTCCACTGGCGCCTGTGCTTTTCACAGATGAGAGCAGGGTCACCCTGAGCATGTGACAAGATGTGAAAGGGTCCAGAGAACCGTGGAGAGCAATATGCTGCCTGTAACATCGTTCAGCATGACCATTTTGGTGGTGGGTCAGTGATTGTCTGGGGAGGCATATCCATGGAGGGATGCACAGACCTCTACAGGCTAGAAAATGGCCCCCTGACTGCTATTAGGTATTGGGATGAAATCCTTGGACCCATTGTCAGATCCTACACTGGTGCAGTGGGTCCTGGGTTCCTCCTGGTGCACAAAAATGTCCGGCCTCATGTGGCGAGAGCATGCAGGCAGGTCCTGGAGGATGAAGGAATTGATACCATTGAATGGACCCCCCACACTCACCTGATCTAAATCCAATAGAACACCTCTGGGATATCATGTTTCGGTCCATCCGACACCACCAGGTTGCACCTCAGACTGTCCAGGAGCTCAGTGATGCCCTGGTCTAGATCTGGGAGGAAATACCCCAGGACACCATCCGTCATCTCATTAGAAGCATGTCCCAACATTGTCAGGCATGCATACAATCATGTGGGGGCTATACAAACTACAGAGTACCATTTTGAGTTGCTGCAATGAAATTTCAGCACAATAGACTAGCGTGCTGCATAATTTTTTCACTTCGATTTTTTGGGGTGCTCAGTTCGCTGTAGGTTGATAATTTTCATTTCCATCAAACATTGGAGCATCCTTACACATTACCCAGTCCATATCAGTATAGATATCCAGCATAATATTTTTCCCATTGAGATCTGATGTTTCAAAGTGTTCCTTTAATTTTTGTTTTGAGCAGTGTATAACACTCACCTGATCTTATGATTAATGTGCATTTACTACTTTTTTTTTTTCCATTGAGGCCTGCTGAGCATTGTACCTGTGATTAGTGTGTTATAGGGTGCAAAGCGCAGGCTCCCTTAGGGCTCATTTACACTTTGATTTTAACACAAATTAATTTTTCAACATGCATTTTTGATGCCTCAGTGATGCTTTTTTGAAGCTTCGCAAATGTGGGTGTCGATTTTGTATTTGTTTTAAAAGGGGCTCAGTAGTACCCCCAACTTAGTGATACCGCCAGCTCATTAGTACCCCCTCACTGTTAGAGAGTGTTGTCATAGATGGACATGGAGGCTCTGGAAACACTTTGAAGCACAAAGAAAGTATAATGGGGTATAATTTTTGAAGTGAAACAAGGCAAACGTAACAGTGTGAACGGGACTGTAAGGTAACCATTTTATTTAGTGAGAGGGCTTTGATTGGCATTCAGAGTGCTTTAAAAATGTGTCCAATTCCACAATTTGAAGCAAGTATAAACAAGTCCTTAGGGCTCTTTCACATAGGTGGCCGGGGTGCAATAAATAAAAACAGGCAGCTGAGCCATGGTTTTACAGCCGCACAGTCACCCAACAAAGTTCTAATATTACAGCCAGACAAGGCTGTACACATGCCACACTCTAAATTCAAGTAACAGAATGCTGACCTACGATTCAGGTAAGGAAGTGGGGGCATTGCTGTATTCAGATACCAGTCCAAATTGCAAAACATCCATTTATCAGGGAGACAATCTCAAAAGCTGAGCAAACACACTGAAACGTTTAGTCAATTTCAACAACCATCAAGCCACTGAAAATAGTTCCTGGACCTCAGAAGTGTTTTCCATTACAGTATGCACAAATTTGCAGATTTTGACAGATTTGCTTGAAAAAATGGCCCCAATGGCAATTACTGTGCTTCTCTCTGTTATTGCCATCTTCACCAATCTTGACTGGCCTGATGGAACTCCCATACATATGCAGTGGAGTTATTTTGTCCCAACACAAAATCTTGCTGACACTACACCAGGCTGCACATGCATGGCTCATTGTACACTTACACACAAAAAGCTGACAGAAGCATTTAAGACACAAGAATCATACAGAGTCTCTTTTGTCTCAAGGAAAAGCCTACCTGTCAGTATTTTTTTTTTTTTATAGTAAACTAACTGTAGTTAGTTGGAGAAAGACTCCCAACAAGACACCACAAAAAAAGGCATTCATGCCATATGTATATAAATTTAAATGTTACATAATGTGTTCCAACATCATTTAAAATCTCAGATCTCACTAAAAAACACATGTATTCTGTTTTAAGTGAGATGTGAACTGATTTTAAATGATGTTGGAGTAAATTAAGTAACATTTATTTGTATATAAATAAGTTGTGAATTATTTTTTGTGGCATTGATGTTGTCATGGAAAGGCTCCAGCATTGTTTAAAGTATACCCTTTCTAAGAGGGAATATTGAGGATACTGTCGCTCACCTCCCTATGAAAATGCCAAATACTTGGCTATATCTGGCTTCAAAACATCACATCTTAAAACAATCAAACCGCACACCTCCTGAGCAAAAGCTTACACTGCTTATGCCACTCTGCTATATCTACCCTAGTGCACAAAACTTTCTTCCACCAAAACAAATTCAAATTTTCCAGATGATTAGACCCCAAACTGCTCAACAGAGGTCAATTTGCACCTTGGAAAGTTTATACCATGGGGAAACACACTACAGGGCAGCGCAGTGGCTAAATGGTTAGCACTTCTGCCTGGCAGTACTAGGGTCGTTGGTTCGAATCCCACCCACGACACCACCTGCCTGGAGTTTGCATGTTCTCCCTGTGCCTGCGTGGGTTTCCACCGGGTACTCCGGTTTCCTCCCGATACTCCGGTTTCCTTCCACACTCCAAAGACATGCTTCTAGGTTAATTGGATCCTGTCTAAATTGCCCATAGTATGTGTATATATGAATGTAAGTTAGGGACCTTAGATTGTACACCCCTTAAGGATTAGGGACTGATGTGAATGTACAATATATATGTAAAGTACATAAATTGATGGCGCTATATAAGTACCTGAAATAAATAAATGTCTAACTATATCCAGGAATTAAAGATTTAACTTCCAATGGAAGACATATACAAAAAATAAATTGCAATTAGCGCCAGAATTCTCTTTTAACAATTTTATTAAAAATAACCCACTAACATCATCAAATTTCTGTATCTGAAGGCAATCACAAAAACAGTATCATTAGTTCAAAAGTAAGGGCTTGTTCATACTATGACAATTGTTTTCTATGTGCTTCTCTCATGCCACAATACTGGTGTGATAAGCAGTGTCTGCATTCTTAACTACAGTGCTCTGGATGGCACTGTATGTCACCCCACAGCAGTGCAACAACATGAAGTGCCAGGATGGGATGCTTCAAAAAAAGTGAAAAAGAAAAAAGGAAAACTAGTAAGAAGTGTAAAACGTGCATTGCGCCACTTCCTACCACAGCCAACACTAGCCTGCACGCTAAAACATGGAGTTTTACTATACAGACTAGTGTGAACATAAAACCAGAATGATATCAGATGAGCAAACTCATCCTACATGTCTAGTTTTTTAGTCAGTGCAGTGGCAAATTGTACATGAAAGGTTAACGGCAATAAAGGACCAATCTTCAAAGGGTTTGATGAGGTTAGCCCCTGACATCATTGCAGTTTTACTTTTGAACTAACAGTACTTTTTTTTTTTTTTTTTAACTGCAATCAGATATGGTAGAATGCTAATAGTAATCTTTAAAATTTGGTGTTTTTTTTTTTTTCATTTTTGTTTTAATA